AAGACCCGAGTGCGGGGCGTGCTCTGTGCTGTGAAACATGCTCCCCCCCGCAGCCCATCCTGGTTGGGGTGTTTGTTGGAGGTTTAACCAGGGAGGGGCCTCCGAGCAGGTCCCTTAATCTCCGGGTGCGTCCCACCCCGTGGTAAGGCCACTGGGGGAGAGCAAGTGATGGGGGTGTGAGTTCTTTCGGGGCATTTCATAGAATCATTCAAGTTGGAAGAGACCCCTGGGATCACTGAGTGCAACCACTAACCCTGCTCTACACAGCTCACCCCTAAACCATCTACCCCAACTCCACATCTAAACGACCTTTAAACCCCTCCAGGGACGCAGACTCAACTGCCTCCCTGGGCAGCCTGTGCCGACGTCTCACTACTCTTGCTGTGAGAAAATTTTTCCTCATGTCCTGTGGGACCCTGCGCTGTTGCAGTTTGTTCTATCGCTCCTTCCCCATGAGAAGAGACCAGCCCCAACCTCTCCACAATGTCCTATCAGGCAGTTGCAGAGAGTGAGGAGGTCTCCCCTCAGCCTCCTCTTCTTCATACTCAACAGCCCCAGCTCCTTCAGTCGTTCTTCATGAGATTTGTTCTCCAGGCCCTTCCCCAGCTCCATCACCCTCCTCTGCACTTGCTGCAGCCCCTCGAGATCTCTCTTGGGTTGAGGTGCCCAGAACTGGACACAATTTGTGGGTGTAAAATGAAGTAATGGCAGTGGTGGCAAACTTGAAGAGGGGAGAAACCCTGTTTACCAGGGATAGAGGTAAACCTGAGCAGTAATGTTAATGGCCGAGTCATTGTCACACAGAGGGCTTCATAGTGCCATTGGAGATGCTTAGGAGGCGTGCCTGTTCTGGAAAGAAACTCTTCCCCAAGCAGCATCACCCCTCTGGCTCTATGGCAGGTTCCAGACAGGCAGATATTTCCTGCATACCCCTTGGTTCTGATCCACATTGGTTCAAGACATGTTGTTTCTCAATTAAAGAAACCGCAAAAAAGCCCACAACCACCAAAACCAACAAAAAAGCACCCTAGGTCATAAACAAAATGCTAATGGTTCTCTGTGCGTTTTCCTTATTAACACTTCTGCTGATCTTGGGGAGCTGCAATGACATAACAGGAGGAGGTGAACAGGTTTATTCTGTCCACGAGGTGGCAGGATTAAAAAGCACCAGTGGATTTTAAGTGCAGCCCGATCCCATTAAACGTAGCGATGAGAACTTCTGTTTCCTGGCGCTCACATGAAGCATGAATCAAGTGTTGGAAATCACAAGGAGAGAAGCTGCAGTGCAAGCTGCAACACTGTGCTCCAGTACAGCCAGGAAGGAGGATTATTTTCCAAGGGAAATTACAACAATAGAGGCTCAAAGATGAAATAATTTTAAAGAACCAAGAATTGGAAAAAAATAAAGATGGGTCTTACTAGCTTAAGATCCTCCTCATGTGCAAAACTCTGTCTAAGGAATTCATAATGCTCCAAACAAAAAATTCCCAGGAAGGTTCTCAGTGGGCAGATCTGGGGTCGAGGAAACATTCAGAGCTAAATAAGCATTTTATGTTTGAAAAATCCGCAAAGTTCTCAAGAAACACAAATAATTCGCTGGAAACTCAGGACATAATTAAAACAGAGGTAGCTTTAATGCTGTTTCAGACTGAGGAATTAAAAACATGTGGAGAATGCTTTCTGTTTATCGATTCAGCGTAGTACAGTCATCTTAAACCCCATGTAAACAGCATACAGCATCTCGACAGTATCTTCTGAAAGGATTTCCTAGTACGTGATTTGACAATTTCTTCTGATGCTTCATATCACCAGTTTCCTTCTTGTTGCCAAGTCTTTCATTTGTTTCTTCACAAAGTGAAATCCCAGAAGTGAAAGGACTTGAACATCTCTTCTCTGGATGAGGAAACCCTGACAAAATTCACTGAGTGGTTTCTGATTCATCCCACAACAAAATTCCAACGAGGATATCGTTGATTCTGTGCTTGTTCATGCTCCTTCCCAGTCTTCTGACTTCAGACAATTACATGGGTGGCTGCTAGGCCATCCACAACATGAATTTATGTATCTTAAAAATAAGCTTACTCTAAAGGCCTTTGGAGTTCAGGGAAATGAGTTAATTAAAACCAAAAAATAATGTGTAGAGAACAGGAAAAAACAAAGCAACAATCTAAGAAATAAATATGCAGAAATCAAAGAAAATAAGGATAGGACAGCATATTAAATTGAAAAATAATTGAAACAGTCACACAAAGAGTTTGTTCAACTGGTGCAAGAGGTAAGGAGAAGGAGTGGTTTAAATAGAAAAATAATTTCTAAATCTTTGGTAACAATGAATTCTTCAGCTTTGTACAGTACTTGTAATCTAAAAATAGCCTTCTATTATTCATGAAAGTATATTTTATAATTTATTTCCTGGTACACTTTATTAACAAAACTTACATAAAGGCAGAAAATAAAAAGTCAGAAGGATATGAAGAAAATGGTGTTTCTGAAGAAACAGATACCTGAACTGGGTTCTAAAGCACGTTTCTTAGTGAGTGTATCTCGTTACTCTGCTCACATGATCCCAAATTTTCCAGACAAGAAGTTTGTTTTTCCTTGGGATGTTGTATTCTTTCCATCACCTGGCTTTGAAGGCGTTTCCATAGTAATATATCGAATTTGAAAACCACCAGCAGTTACTGAGGCATCTGTCAAGAACTTCAGGGTCATAACATTGCCTGGGACAAGAAAAATAACAACAAAGGTTATGTTTTCAGGTGATAAACATAAAAATGTGATATTTTAGAGTTATTTTTAAAGCGCTCTTGCTTGCTTGCTGCTGAGATCTTTAGAGCAATCCACCTGGTCTGTCTTCTTCTGAGCTGTGGCGTGGGAGCATTATCTGCCCCATGGAAAACCAGGCAGATTTTCATCGTTCTCTTTGTTTGCAGAGCCCAGAGGTTGACAAAAGTTTTGCTGTGCCCGGTGCTTCCTGCAAAGCATTTCCTGCTCGTAACAAAGCTGCCCGTGCCCGTGGAAAGTCCCACTTCCTGCGTGAGACCCGTCTGGCGCGTCAGGAGCTCTGCGGTGGAGGTGTCCTGCTGCTCTAAGGCCAGCAGGATGCACCCTAGTTATCTCCTAGCTCGACTTTTTTCACTCTTACATATATTTAGAGGTAACTGCATTGATGAAGGAGCACGCTGGCAGTTTTGAGCAGCAGTTTATGACATGCAGAGATTGGATCTTTGGACATTTTCGCTCTATGTTATTATGAAGTAGGGCTGTTTGGGTTGGTTTGGGGTTTGGGTTTTTTTTTAGCATAAAGAATGCAAATATATTACCTGTGCTAATGATATCATCTGGCAACTCATCTCCACAAAACCTGGAAGAAAAAATAAATGGTCGTGACTGACACAGCCATAGCTCTGCTCTATGGGGACCGATGCCGACCAGTGACTGTACTCTCCTCTGGAGCCGTGGCTCGTGGGGCTAAATTGATTATAGGTGTTCGATGTGTGTAATTCTCCACTACAGGTTAGAACAATTGCCTAAAGGATTGTTGTCTTTATCTTATAGTCAGATTTAGGGAGGGAAAAAGGCAGGAAACCTTTTTCAGGAAATCTTTTGCAACATATGCAGGAAGTAAATGATGCAAACCAAGGAAAAGAGCGATTTAACGAGGCGTTAAGGAAAAGAACAATGGCCCAGATAAGAAACGAAGAGCACTGTCAGTAGGAGCATTTAAAATTATCTCTAAAGGCAAAAGAAATAGCAAAAATTATCTGTAAAGGCAGAACAAATCCTTGCTTTGCTACATGTGGTTTGCAGGGAGGATGGGAAAAGTGGCAGGAACTGGGAAGCATTTTTAAATCACTTTTTCTGCTTTGTTTTTTGCTCTGGAAAATCGAGTTACTTCTTACCAAAATATGCTAAAGGACAAGCAAAAATATTATGTCAAAGAAAAGATAGTAAAAATTAAGCAAAGAGGGAAACTAAATCTAGTAAGAAAGATGATATGTAACACCTGCTCTGATATTGCTATAAAATATTTCACTTTTGCTGTGAATGGTAACTTAAAGACATCTTTGCTAACAGATTAACACTCCACCTCTCTCTGTTCAGTTAAATACAAAATACTGTTTGAGATTGCTAAGAGTTCTTCCTGTAAAACAATAAAGAGTTAGGATAAGCAGCTAACTAAGATAAAGTCTTGCAGCTTTCTTTCACGTAGTTTAACAAAGCAGAAAAGGGCAAAGCACAATTCTCTTTACGCCAAAGTAAATTGCCAGGAAAGATAAGTCAGGTCCTATTGCTACAGGTATTTTGGGCATATCAGAGGTGCTAATTGGGTAAATACAGTGTTCTGCGTTAATGGTCTGAGGAAAGGAAAAAGATTATTTGCATATTTGATTATTTGCATATTTGCATATTCAAGCTGGAATTGCTTTACCTGCCCACGAAGCCATTGATATCATCGTAGCTATCATAGATTTCCAAGTAATCAGCCATACAAGCAGTGTCATCTTCGACATCGAACTCGAGAAACTGTAGGTGAATACGCTGTCCATACTTTACTCTAATATGCCAGTAGCAAATTTGCTCATTTTCATACTCGTTTGGGTAGCCTGGTGACTTAAAAACGTGTTTGGAATCTGTGAAGACGCCACCACATTCTTTTCCTGAGAGACAAATAAAAACGTCAGAGTTTAAGTATTCATTCCGGTTTAAATCTTTGTGCCCTTTGGCCCAGCTGATCCATAGCAAATCCCATAGGAACACCTGGCACAATAACACTTTTCATACAATTAGGCACTCAAAAAAAACAAGAAATGTCAACCATTCCTAGGTTTTGGGAGCAGATATTTTGGAAACAAGAGGCATGATCCGAAACTTAATGAATTAATGAAAAAGCTTTCATTGACTTCAGCAGACTTTGGGCCAGAGGGAGGTTTCTGTGTCAAAGCCATTTGGGATTTCTGGCAACGTCAGACTGTAAGCTTTACAGCTGTACTTGGAAGTCACCCTGGCATTCAGTGTCATCCTTTCTTCTTCAAAAACCTCATGAAAGTGTGTCCTACAAGAAAACTTAAAAAAGCTAGTGAGCACATACATTGCATTGCACCCCGCTTATTGCTGCTGCTCTGCACTCCCTTTGGGACAAAACCCACTCATTCCTGGTTGATCCAGTGGCCGTTTGAACTTCACCAGCTCCCTGACTGCAAAACCAACCCATTTGGGGACCTCCCACCACCTGACTTTAGTATTTGTCATAGTTCCCCAAGTTCAGACTTGGGGAGGAGAGAGGTGCTTCCTAAGGGCGATTTGAGGCCCAAGAGTTGGGAGGCTTAAGATGGATTGTGGGATTAACCCTCTTAGTCTGTACGTTGTCCACAAATCCTGTACTTTTCAGCTTGAGACCATGGTTCGGTCCCCATGTGTTGCCTGATCTAGTTGAGAGGTGTCCCTGCCCATGACAGAGAGGTTGGATTAAATGATCTCTAAGATCCCTTCCAGCCTAGGCCATTCTATGATTCTATGATTCTATGATTCTATGATACTATGATTGTTAGGTGTTACATTTCAAACACGCTGAGAGTTCCACAAAGGCCCTCGTGACACCTTTAGGCTGAGATTTGTCTTTGTTCCCCCCAGGCTACTTGCCTCCTACCTGCAGGCAGGCAGCTCTGCAGGGCTTTGCAGCAGACTGACCATCAAGACAGATCCTTTTCACAGGGGGAGGAACTCCAGCTCTCTGCTAAGTGTCAGCAGTTCTGTTTTCCTTTTGTCCTCTAACCACACAGTTTGGAAAGTAACCTCCCAGCCCAGGCTGACAAAGGCGAAAGTGGGGCTGCCAGTTGACACACAGTACTAACGAAGGCAGTAGTCTCTCTCAGAGTTTTCTTTGTGTGCTGAACATCTGCGCGTGTCCCCCACCCCGCAGAGCTATTTGATTAACAACTGCCCAGCTCACATAAACAACCTAAGCCCTGGGAGCACAAACAAAATGTGCACAGCTGTACAGACGTCATGGACAACTCTGCTTTTTGGCTCTGCCAGGCAGGGTAGGATACTTGGAGGAATAGGAGAGCCAAGCTGTGCACAAAGTCAAGCTTTGCTTTCCTTGTTGGTGCCTAATTTTCCTGTCTTCCCCGCTGCAGGAAGTGATACCAAGCTAAGTTCACACTAAATTTAGTGTTAACACTAAATTTTAAATTTAATATTCTAAATTTAGTGTTAAATGTAGTGTTAACACTAGATTTTACAGGCAAAATATTTGGAAAGCAGTTCCCAGATTAAACACCCTGGACTGCTTATTTAAATGAAATTGTGAGCTGAATGTAAATACTCTTACACAAAACAGACCATTCGCATATCGCATGGGGAACATCACTTACCTTTTTAAATCGACAACAGCGTGTCATTATATTTTCAGTTTCTGAAAGGATTTTGCTTAGGCCCAGAGATGCTGAGCTCTGAGTAAGCCAGACCAGCTACAAGTAACAAGAGAGGGGGCTCGATGTGGGACTTTGAGGAAATTTGCACCAAATAAATTTGTCGAAGCTAAGTCGTTCAGAGCCTGGGCGCCATCGCACAGCCCGACAGCACGGCACGTTGTCGCGATCTTAGACCTGAAGAGTGATGGGTTGTTTCAAAACGCACCGTTAGGGTTGTAGCAGTAGGCATCCCATCGCTCACTTCTGTTGAGGCGAATCCCATAATCAACGATACCGGTTTTTCCAAAGCCACAGTTGGCTCCAGCTTTTACTATGGGGTAGCCAACTCTGCCCTTTGCCATCCAGCCAGCAGCGCACACATGGAATCCTACAACAGGCAGAAAATGAGATATGGAGGTGATAAATCAATCCTGGGCTAAAAACTCTGCTTTTTATTCAAGCAAGTAAAGTCTTACTCAAGACGATCAGTGACCTGGGTGTAACAGAAATTGAGCTACAGGAAAGAACAGTACTTTGAGAGGATAATTTTAAACGCAGAATATAAAATTGCACTGTGTTCTCTACGATTCTTGGTTCTTCATTTGAAAACGAATCAAATGCAGATGGGCTGCATAGAAGTGAATTTTAAGTGCTGTACCAGTGTTTGTAGCCAAACTATATACTGCATGAGTTATATAAGTGTGTTCTTTGTTTTCACTTTTGAAGTCGTCCGGATTTAGTCAATCATACCTCAAGAGTTTGCAGTGTTCTGTTCCAAGAGTGAATAAAATACTACATACAGAAGACAGCTAAGAAAACCACGTATTTAACTTAAAATGCTTCCAAATTGAACTTAAATACCTGAAATTCCTCAAGTATTTCTTGCTCAACAAAAAAGATCCTGTTAATGCGTTTTGTGGTCGAGAACTTAAAAACAATAACCAAAGAATGCAATGTTACTTGTTGTCTGGTAGAGACCAATTCAGTGTTTTCTCTGAGATGAACTGGAACATATTTGTGGCATCCTAGGGCTACAGGCTACTCGGAACAGACAAAAGTACCCTTTTTACATGCGCACTGGTGCTTAGAGCCAGCTTCTGACTCAACAGCGTAGCCTGCAAATTGCTAGTGGAGGACATTTTCCATTGTTTCCCCAATGCTCTGAATGAATTCATCATTTCATATTGGGAATCGAACAGAAATGCAGCAGAGCCCTCACTCGGCTCTGCCTTCCCTCGGAGCGCACCACTCACTCCCTGTTTTACCTAGGGCGCAGAATTCCATACAACTTGGGTGAAAATCCAGGGAGTTTACAAGTCTGTAAGTCCCAGAGTTCCTAACATTCGTGAAAATACAAGGCTGGCAGCGTTACGAATGAGCACCGCGAAGCGCGACCCGCCGCAGTGGTTTTTTGCGAACCTATTTTTCTCGCTGCCTCGAGTTGCTGATACGTGGCGAGGTGTCCTCCCTCGTATTCACAGACTGCTTTTGCTTCAGCATAGGTGAGCTGGTACTTCCCTGAGCGTGACTCCCTGTGATACACTCCAGCTGCTCGTTCTGTGGGAACAAAGCAATAAATGATTTCAGCACAGGCTCTCCTCTGACCCACCTCTCCCAGCGTGCTCCCACCACCTCCAGCGGTTTCCCCAAGACCTTCAGGTGAGAAGAGAAAAAAAAGTTCATAGAATCATAGGATCATAGGATCCTTAAGGTTGGAAAAGATCTCCAAGATCATCTAGTCCAACCCTACACCATGCCCACTAAACCATTTCCCTTGCAGCTGTGCTGTGTGGAAAACGTCAAGAAAACGCAGCCCTCCCAACCCAAAAAGCACGTTTTTTCGAAACAAAGGTATGAGTTTTTTTGCGTGGGAGAAGTTTTGAACAACAGCTAGTCAGAGCTTGGTGAGTTTTTGAACAACAGAAAATCAACAAACGCAGGGCAGGACTCCCCCAGGACCGCTCCGAAGGCGGTAGTTATGGGAACGATCGGCTGGTGACAGCATCGCGGGTTTTGTGTATCCTCTCCGACTCAGGGGAAGCTCCTTCTGGATGGCTATCACAGAATACTTTTGGATGTAATTTTAAGTGCCTTTGTAAGATGAATCAGAGCTTTGTTTTGAATCTCCAGAGGAGTTAAATCAGAGCTACTTGGATGGAGGAGAGGCAGAAATTAAAGGGAATGAAAATGTGAAGTAAAAATATCTGAGCTTGTGTCACAAAGGGCAGGACCAGAACAATTGCTGGCTGACATTTCTGCTGCACAAAAAATTAATATGCTTTCTTCATTATTTTTTTTTTCTCTTTGCTGTTGGAAGTAAAATATAAAGCAGCTTTCCAGGGAAACCTAGAAACTGTCAGTACTGCTGTAAGTTTTAGCATCTTTTCACGTTGCACTTGTCTGATGCCATATGTACGGAAATCTGTCTCGGAACCAATCTACATATCTAATCTGAACAGCATTTTTGTTTAGATCTTTCTTATATTTAGTGTAATCTGAGAGAAATGGCTGTCTGTAGCTCTCACTAGTCAACACGACTGCAAAAAGATGCAAACCAGGAAGCAGTTTTTACAGTAGTTATTTGTACCAGGGGGAAAAAAAAATGTCTTTTATAGGGACATACTTAGAGTCAGTAGTTTTGGCTACGATAGGATATTTTTTAAAAAAAACCATGGTCACCACTGAATTGTGGTTAGCAATGGTGAGATCTCTTATTAGATCCAGAATGATGGTTGCCAGCGTAATTTTTGGACCCACAGTCACTGGCCTCACGCCCAGTGAAGCAAATTACATTGCTGACAATATTCTCAGACGACTGAGAGCTGCTTCCTGTAACAGCGCTGGGAATGTCACTGGCATGGGCACGGGCTAACATATATTCCGTGAAAAATCTTTCAGAAAAAACAAGTTGGCAACAACTAACAGCTGTGAAATAAGGCTGTATTTCTTTTTTAAAAAAATCTATTTTAATTAAAAAATTGTTCATAGGATGCATTCTTTTTCATTCACTCAGTAGTCTATCGTGTCTAACCTGTTAAATCCACTCGTTGCTTTTTTACAGTATGATTCTATTGGATTCGGTGTGCAGGAACTGGAAATCTGAGTACCACGGAAAACAGCATGCCCTTTAGCCTCACTGCACGCTCAGAGGACAACCTGGAATTGACATTATTGATCGCTGCAGCTCATGGAGAAGTGAACTGGAAGGTGAATGGAAAAGCACAGACTGCAGGCCTGGGGATTAGCTGAGCTGCCCTACCTACACCCAGTCAAAGAGTAGAAGGCAGCTGAATTCTGAGGTTTGTCCCACCCCGTTTTGTCCCTGGAACTGCTGTTGGATGTGCCACCAGGGATTCGGGCGGGATCCCCACTGCTTGGACTCATCACTGGTGGAGATGACAGTAAAAACTGATTTTTTAGTTGCCTGCCTGACGTTTTCACCTGGCAATATTTTTTTCACATCTTACCCCTCGAAAAGTATCTACCCACGCTTGGTGATGCCGAAATCTCACTATGGGCAGGCCTCACATTTTTTCAGAATAGTGCTGGGAAGATCTGCTCTTCACAGTTTCTGCAAGGGCTGCTCCACCACCAGCAGCACCACCAAGGCTTTATGCAGTGTCTTCATGGGTGGTGTTATCCTGCTGAGAGCAATGACCAGTCTGTATCTCTGTTCCTCCTTTGTAACATGACAAAAGGAGCCTTTGGAAAGATGGACCACACACATGTTCTCCACCAAGCTTTGAGATTTTAAGCTGGCTCGGTGTGTCACAGTTTAATGATGCTGTATTCCCTAACAGTATATCCTCATTAACTGATCAGATCTTTCACTGGCATTTTTTCCCATTCCCTCTTAATTGCATTAGGGGCTGTGTGGAAAGATAAACTGCATCAGCAAAACCAGCCCGAGGTCAAAGCACTGTACTTGTTAACTGTTCACATGCTTTTATATATTTATGTATATCCATATAGATACATATTCACTGTCACGCATGAACACACACATGAATTGCTGTTAGTATTTTTGGAGGTGGTATCGTGGCCATGAGATAAAGCTAGATGAAATTTTTTCACTTGCAAGGACAAGTGCATGCCTACCCCTGCAAACATGTCCTATTCCTGTACCACGGGGACAGGAGTACGACGCGTCTCAGCCTCAGCCGAGCATCTTCTCCAAGGTGGGATTCTGCCTGAAGGCTGCTCTCTTTATCTGACCTGCCTGAAATCTCTTCCCAGGCAACAGTAGAGAACTTTCAGCAAAGTTCTTGCCTTCTTTGCATGAAAATCTCCATACAGGGACTGTTCTCTCAAGGATTTCTCCACCCACTTTTCTTCTTTGGTTCTTAGTCAAAAGGTCATGGGCTACGTGGCTGACAGGACGTGTTTCTTCCAACTCACATTTCTTAAAATCTCTCCTGGAAGTCCAGAGGCAGTAGGATCCTGCAAGGACAGCGACCCTCTGCTCACCCACAGCAGCAGGAGATGGTAAAGTGTAGCCAAACCCTTCTGCACAAACACAACAAGCATGAAATTTGGCCAGATAAAGCACCTTCAATATGCATGACACAAATACGAAATGCTAAATAAAAAGAAATATTTAGATTTTAAGCAGATGATGGCCACGCAGAGTTACTGGCACTGGCCTCTGCTAACGCGCACGGTCGTAGTCAGGGCCCTGGGTTATAATGCGTTTGTGTTAAAAATGAGGAACGATAAAATTCCATTCACACAAGAAGGACATTAACGGGAAGGTGATGCAGGTGGCTGCAGCAGGACTGCAGGCTTACTGAGGGAACAAAAGATGGTTTGTAAGGAGGAAAAAGGTAGAGACACGAGTGTTTCTAGACTGCCAGTAATTCAAGATTTTATATTTGTACTAATGACTCATTGCAGAAGAAAGGTAAAATGGAAAACTCCATTTCCAATTTGGTCTTGATAGTATTTTATTGGAAAAGTGGAGATAAGCAAAGCTCGGATGTCACTGTGCATTCTTAGGTTGTATTCAAGGGAGGGTCCCTTACTTTAATACTTATACTCAGTGAGATTGGGGTTGCTCGTTTTACAGTTCAGGTTACACTTTCTTTTTTTGTTAGATACAAAGATGCATAGATTGGACGGCTGTGATTTTGCCAACTTTTCCTTCATTTATATACGTCACTGAATTCCAATGGTAATTCAATTAACTGCATTTTGAGGTTTGTTTCGATAATTCTGCTGCTGTATTTAGACTAGATGGGGCATTTCTAAAGGAGCTCCAGCAGAGTGGTTATTTCAAAGTTGCACACTGCTTACAGATTTTGCATGTGTTTGCTTATTTAGAGCAAGTCCACATTTTTTACCTCATGGTTCATGTTTATCTACTCTCATGGTAAATGCTGGAGGTGTAGCACAACATAATTTTATTATGCATTCCAGTTAACACTCTGTTTCCTCATTTTAGAAGATTAGAATATTTTTTCTTCAAATTGACTTCAATTCATCAAACTGCTTAAAGGATCTCTGCCATTGTAAAGTCCCCTGTATGTTGTAGAAGCCCTAAAGGCTGTCCCCAGGGCGACTGGTTGCAGCAGTCACGTGGATATGGAGATCTACAACCCCAGGCAATGGTACAGGCTTGGGGCAGTGTGGCTGCAAAGCTGTCTGGCACAGAGGGACCTGGGGGTTCTCATTGACAAGCAGCTGAAGATGAGCCAGCAGTGCGCCCAGGTGGCCGAGAAGGCCAATGGCATCCTGGCTTGTGTTAGTAATAGTGTGAACAGCAGGAGCAGGGAGGGGATTGTCCCCCTCTGTTTGACACTGGGGACGCCACACCTTGAGTATGTTATCCAGTTTTGGGCATCTCAATCCAAGATCTCGAAGTGCTGGAGCGAGTGCAGAGGAGGTCAATGGAGTTGGGGAAGGGCCTGGAGAACAAATCTTATGAAGAACGACTGAAGGAGCTGGGGCTGGTTAGTTTGAAGAAGAGGAGGCTGAGGGGAGACCTCTTCACTTTCTGCAACTGCCTGACAGGACACTGTGGAGAGGCTGGGGCTGGTCTCTTCTCACGGGTAATGAGTGATAGAACAAGAGGGAACGGCTTCCAACCGCAACAGGGCCGGGTGACAATGAACATGAGGAAAAAAAATTTTCACAGAAATAGTAGTCAGCCATTGGCACAGCTGCCCAGGAAGGTGGAGTCTCCTCCCCTGGAGGTGTTTCAAGGTCGTTTAGATGTGGGGTGGGGGAGATGGTTTAGGGGTGAGCTGTGTAGAATAGAGTTAGTGGTTGGACTTGATGATCCCAAGGGTCTTTTCCAACCTGAATGATTCTATAATTCTATAATTCTGTATTTGCAAATAAACCACCCAGGACCCATTTCTCCATCCATGAGTGCAAGTGGCATGGTGTGTGCCTCAGCTCTCTGCCCTTTCGCCAGGGTGATCTCATCGCAGGTCTCATCCTGGGATGGTCGGTGGTGCCGCACCGGAGCACTCTTTGGAAGAGCACCGGCTGGCTGAGAGCAGAACTCCTCTGCCCCTACTGCCAGGGCTTCACACAGCCTCAGTCCTACTCATCTGCTGTGTCCTCTTACTGTTATTGCAGTCAGGAATAACAGCTTTGCTTGTTTCTCACACATACGTCTTCTCTGCCACACTTTTTCTGAACAGCAGCCACTCGAGGTGGTGTGTGAAGCTCCTTCCATTGGAGCTCTCCCCCACCTGAGCACCTTCAACGACTATGGGCTGCAGCAGGCACATTTTGAGTTTAGAAGGAAAGAGAAGTCGTTAAAAATGTGCAGTCAAATGGAAAAAAATACAGAACACTGCTCTGTCTCCTTTATGTTCCTGTTAGTTTACACAGTCCTCTAAGAAGGGACCGGTGCCACGTGGTTGCTGCACCAGCTAACAGAGCATGAAACACAGGAGCACGCATGAAACATCGGAGCACAACAGAAACATGCACCAGCTACAGGAATTCCTTAAAATCCTTAAAGAAACACACAGCTTTCAAGAGAGGAATAAAGCAGTTTGTAAGTATTTGTCTGTAAAACAGAGCACTCCGTGCATGGTTTTGTTTTGGCATCCTTGATGGGACTGCATTCTGGACGTGGTTTTCTGTTGTGCTGGATAATTATAAAGAACTATAAAAGAACTCTAAGAGCTGTTTAAAACCACTTAAGGTATAAGAAACTATTCCCACAACAATTTCTGTAGCCCTTTCAAAATCTTGTTTTTGACTGTTTAATGATGTGAACAAACCAACGGCCAGAACATATACATTTCAGTACTCTCCCAGAAACCTAGGAAATATTATCGCTATTATTTCCAGATCATTTAGTTTCATATGTAGGACCCCAGGCATCTGAAGTATGTTCACACAGAAAGTAATTCATTCCTTTGGCAAATGCTGCTTTTCATACTCGTTTTCCCTCATTAGCAGCAACTGTTATTTAATGCTGTTTTCACTTTACCTCATGCTGTAGGGAAATACATTCAGATGAAATATTCTATAACTACTTTTTCCTGTGCTTCAGAGAAATAATAACAATAGCAAGCTCAGAAGGAGAAAACTTACAGTCAGTACATGGATAAAATGATCAACAATTACTCTGATAAAATGGTCACGAATTACTCAGATAAAATGCTCACCAGTTCAATGCACGATTTTGCTAATATTAATGCATGGCTCAATTCTGTATTGCTAGGTGCTCATCTTTCTACCGTTAGACAGACACAGTGACTTTGCAGCAAAACATTCAGGATTAAATAATTTCTTACCTAACCAAATGGAGTTATGCAGCACTCCGTCCTTGAATCCCCATGCCTGAGCCTTGTCCCACAGCAGAGCAGAAAAGAAAATTAGTGCAATCATCTCTCCCGAACGATTAGGCTGTAAATACTCCCTGTTAAAATGCTCAGGGTTAGCTCTGCTAGCAGCTGGCTAGATCCTATTGGAACATCTGGTAGCCAGATCTTAAATAGTGCTTTCAGCTGTGAGGTCAGCAAGCCTGCTCCAATTGTGCTTGCTGTAGTATTATTACACAAGTCAATGTGATGTCTGCAGCCGTCCATGTGACTCAGGTTTGGCTCTCTTGCTTCCTAGCGTGTCCAAGAAACCATTCTGTCCCTCACTACTGCAGCGCACATGAACACTTTTCCAGCCAAAGTCTGTTCATTCTTCAGCGCTCCCTGTCTTCGAATTCCATAAAACAATAAAGCTCATAATTGCTTATAGTGTTTCTAGTCAGACCATTTACAGGACCAAAGGGAATCACGTGTACCATCTCTCCTTCTCTTTTAAACATTCTGTTCTTTCATAGAGAATTTGGGTTTAATTTCACAGTGACAATGAAAAAAATGTCCAGAGGATATTTTGCATTGGCTATTTGAATTCAGTTTCTCTACATGGAATCTGTAATTGCAAGTCAAACTCCCACATCAGCGTTAAAAGTGCAAGTGTCAAAAACAGATGCTCTTTGTTCTGCAAGTGGGAAATAAAGCTAAAATCTTCCCCTCCAAACCACAGTTTAAAAATCTGATTCATAGCACGACAGCTGTCTGCTTGTCTTCCCTTCTGGCTGATAGTGAATACTGCAGCTGCTCCTTGTGGCTGAGTGGGAGAGTAGAAAGGGGGGAAAGATGAGAGTATGGAAAATGGTCTGGTGCTCCACACTCCTGAGCAGCCATTGGAGGACTCCGCTCTCCAGTTCTGATAACGTTTATAACTTCTGAGTCAGGAGCTATAGAAAAAGATGTGCTCAAGGCAGTGAACACAATCAGATGAAAATAAATGAAAAGGAAAGGGTGGAGGACTCTGCCTACTCAAAAGTATTTTATGTGGATGACTGTTGTGCCCATGAGGAAGATACTCTTCATCACTCCAGTCCTTACATGAAGTGAGGAGTGCCTAGCTATGTTGTACACACAGACACACACACATATTCCTCCCACCTACAACTCAGGCAGATGCCCAAGTGGAGAACTATGGGTGAAGGGAGCTCGGAGAGAGCCTTTCCCCTGCATCAGAGTGGCAAGGTGCCTTCCACCAAAACACCAACATCTCGCTCTGTCACTCTGTGGCACTCACTGATGAGAGCAAATCCCTTTCTTCTCATAAAGTTCACAAAATTCCTGCTGTGCACACCTGTGTCCCTTAACCCATTTGAGTTTCAGCCTGTGGTGTGCAGCAGTAGGTGTAAACCGTATAAATGTGTTTTCATTCCTGTTCCTCACAAAGCTCATGTGCATTCTGATGTCAAAGTTTGCCACTGGGACTTTCTGCTCAGGTATCCCAGAATGCTGATGACAGCCCCTCTGGCCAGCTTGGGACATTAAGGGCTCAGTGGCTTATTGTCCTTCTGCTTGTGAGCTACCACAGAGCAGGACGCTGGGACTAGGGCTGTTGCCTGCCAGTTGGTTCACAGGCCTCTACCACACCCACTGTTCCACCACATCGCTTGTCCCATCATACTTGGCAGCTCCTCTGTCAGCAAAACAAGAAAGCACTCTAAAGATTTGTTTCACTGCATAGAGGTAGGAGCCCTGCTCTGCTTCATAGATTCATGAATTGTCAGTGTTGGAAGGGACCTTAAAGATCATGTTGTCCTAACTCCCCCTGCCATGGGCAGGGACACCTCCCGCTAGATCTGGCTGCCCAAAGTCTCATCCAGCCTGGCCTTGGACACTTACAGGGAGTGAGCACCCACAGTTTCTCTGGGCAAACTGTTCCAGTGTCTCACCACTCTCAGAGTAAAGAACTTCCTCCTAATGTCTAATGTTTCTTCCTAGACTTGAAGATTGGTGCTTTATTTGTACTGGTTTTCTACTTTAATGCCCAACAGGTAAGAGTCCAAGCTTTCTGAATGAGTTCCAATTCAATGTTATTCTGTAAAAGCATGTAGACAGAAGTCTGTTGCTTTCTAACCATTAATAGCCAAGAAACGTTATCTGAGGTTACCTGGGATATGAGTTGTGAAGATGGCAGTATAAAGTTCTGGAGTGGTGATGAATGGAAAAGAGGGTGCTGAGTGCATTGCTCTGGAACACTCATTTCTCATTAGCTGAAGGAAACTGGCACTTTTGCCTTTGCTGGTTTGGAGTGGTGATGTGTTCCTAGTACTCTCTGGGAAACTAGAAACAATAAAGAGGCAGGAGAAAGGAATGGAAACTAAAGGAAAGTGAAAATTCAACAGCAATATAATTCACTTGCAACGTACAAAGACAAATTACTGATTCGAATGAAGAGAATCCCCTTAGGGTGACACAAAGATTTGCCTTTCTCAAAGAAGCACAATGTGGATGTCTTTCTCTGCACAGGACACCTTTTCTGTCTGCTATTCCATGCAAACTCCTCTGGATGACATTGCAACATGAGTTGCTATCTTAACGATCTTTTATCAGAGCCAGATGTCTACGCCACAGGGAACTGTTCTGCTCTGTGGTAGGCCAGTGCCAGTCCCACAGGATCACAAAAATGTGTCAATAGTGACTAACTCAAGGAGTGCCTACCAACTTGGAGATGATATGTAATAGACTGTAATGCTGAAATTCTTGAGAAAGACACTCATGCAGTAATGAATTAAAAATCTGTTTTGACTGTTAATGGTGAAAGCCCTCAGAAAAAGCAATTTAATAAATAAAGACATAAAGTAGCAAATGGTGCTAATACTGACAGTATCTGACAGCATCTCTTGAATTGCACAAGGTCTAGCATTTGATTGAACGTTCCTCACTGGAGGAACAAAGCTCTCTCTTCCTAAGTCCGAAGAAATACAATGGCTCAGAGAATAACTGAGGCTATAATGGATCACGAGCCGTCATCCAGTCCTGAAGTCAGCATTCAGATGTCTCTTATAATATCTTCTGAATAATCCCTCAAATGAATAAACTTCGTCTTTGTTGGACAGTAACAAAAGCTCTACCGGCTTCTGTACATGTTTTGCACTGAGGAGTAATTTGGTACGGTGAATATTTTGATACCTGCGGAACCAACTTCGTGTTTGCTATTGCATTAACAGGAGACATCTGCTCCAGACTCAGCCCAGGAACGTCTGTGCCATTTGTGGTATCAATAAAGTAACACGTTCAGTCCCGTACATCTGTCTCCCAAGTGAGCTGGATAGCAAATTTTTCCTCTGCAAATCCTAGCAGAACCTCTCACCAACAAGAAGATATTCCACAGCTATATGTATGCACTTCCAGATGTTCATCTGATGGTATATTTTTCTGTTTTCTTCCAACTTTTCCACATTTAAATACATTCCAGACAAATCTTATATAAATCAGGTGGGAAGTTTTTCTTAACTCTTGCCGTGCATACGTATGTCATTCTGTGGTTTTGACTAGAGTTCAAAGTGAATGCCTAGCTTGGGAGTTATCCGACTGCGGTCTGAAGCCCACAGTGATATGAAACCAATTGCAAAAACAGAAGAAAACAGTCCAGTAGCTTAATGGATGAACCACTAAGGAGGAAGGAATTCTTTAAAAATAACAGTAGTGTAAGTGGGTCATGAATCTCTTTTGCATTAATTTGAATATTAAGCATTTAGACTTTTCATTTTTCTTCTGTTTATAAATGAATGAAGACGGTAAAAAATATTGCTTTTGTTTTCTAAGATTCATATATTTCCATTGGTGATATAGACGATAGTGCATTTGTTATTTATAGCTTTGAGAATGATACCAAGAATGATGTATTTAAATGGAAAAGCATGCAGTGAAAGGCCTTTCTTTGGGAGGTTTTTTGCAAGAAACTGTAATCTCATTCAGAAAAAAATGGTGGAAAGTGTAGGAAGAAAGAGTGCCGGGAAAGAGATAGTGAAACAGTTAAAGCTAAGTTTTCCTTACAGGAAAAAATGAAAATAGATCATGTGAAAGTGGGGAATATGGCTATGCTGACTGAATTTACATTGTGGGAAACCTGAGAATGGAAGAAGAACTATTTAACCTAAAGAAAGGAAAAAGTTAGCCCAACAATACCATCCTATGCCATGCCATCCCCTGCCGAGTTAAATTTGGGCTGAAAAGCAGAAAACAACTTCAAAACATAAGACCAGAGAAGTTTTGGAATAGCCAAACAAACAGAACACCTAATTCATTTTGAGATGACGTTTGAGCAGGAGCTTGGATTTGATATTCTTCGACAGATGGCCACTTCCAGTCGTATTTTTATCTCATTTTAAACAAATTCTACCTTATTTTAAACTGCTGCATTTTTCTCATGAACTGAGCTGTCAAGGTGCAAGATGAAAGATTGTCCCACACTCCAGGACCTCCATGGAGACCTTAAGAACCACCAAATCCCAACCATACGCCACGTGGCAGAAATAACACGACCTAAGTAATTCCTGGCTGATAACTTGTGTAGCCTGTTTGTTTGAACTAGTGGTGGTGACCATTCCACAGCCACCTGACGCTTAACTCTTCCTAACATTTCAAATACCTTCTCATATCAAAACATCTTGCATTACCTAGAATCTTTCCTGCTGCAACTTCAGCCTATTTCTTCTTATTGCTGGGGCAGACTGAAATAGCTGATTCATTACTGCCTCTCCGTAGCAGGAAAGTTATTTTACAAGTGTTACTGTATCTTGCTTCAGGTCTCTCCTTAAAAATAAACAGGCTGCTCTTTTCATCTTTCCTGTAGGTCGTATTTTCTAGGCTTTCGATCGTTCTTGTTCCTTCCTCCTGTACTCCTTCCAGGTGGCCTGCATCCTTCTTGAAGTGTCACACCAAAACTAAACACAGGGCTCCAGCAAAGGACTCTGCCGTGACAGACGCGCAGAATCGCATCATATATTTTCCAGATGATATTTGAGTTTAGACAAAATCCTGGCTTGATGTTTGCTGTAAGTGAGATTGCCTTTAAAGACAAGTCAGGGTTTTTCAAAGTACCTATTTAAAATGCCTTTGACAAGGTGTTTTACATATGAAAACGCCTTT